ATGATAGATAGATAGATGATAGATAGATAGATAGATAGATAGATAGATAGATAGATAGATAGATAGATAGATCGATAGATCGATAGATCGATAGATAGATCGATAGATAGATAGATCGATAGATACTGATGGGTATCTACCTACCTACCTTCCTATCTAGAATGACCTCATTTTGACTGACCCTTATTTTAAGGGTGTCCAGTGCCCTTCCAGGAAAAAGAAGACCCTCACCAACTTTGTAGTGTACGCAGCCTTCTAGGTCGCCCACTGAGACCCAGCCTTGTCGTTTCTCCACATCGGGGTCATTCCGTAATATCTTGTTTCGTAGCCAAGAGAGATAATATACCCGTAGCTTATTCTTTTTGCCTGCATGGGTTGGAACGGAAGGGAAAAAGAGAGGGGGACATTAAAGTTTATTTCTGCAGACAATTACATTGCTGTCATAGTTGTGCTAAGCTGGATCCTAGAATGAAAGGGCTGGAAGGGATCTTGGAGGTCATTTTCTATGGATGGATGATTGGTTGGTTGGTTGGTTGGATGGATGGATGGATGGTTGGAGGTTTTCTAGCCTCTGCCCAAGGCAGGAGTCCTTATACCGTCGCGGAAAAATGGCTATTCAATCTTTTCTTGAAAATCTCCAAGGATGGTGTTGTGGGCCACCAGCAGAGCCGGCAGCAGATTCGGACAGTGAGGAGGTTGGGGGGGAGCATGGGCCAGTCCTGGAGGCTGGGGAAGGCTCTGAGGAGGGCTCTGCGTGGGAGGCAGAGAGCGGACCGGGGCCATCTGGCCTTCAGAGCTAGACAGCAGTGAGGCAGAGGAAGAGCTGGAGCCTCTTCCCAGTGTTTAAAATCTTTAAAATCCAGCGTACAGTGGAATCCTCCTCCCGCTCCCTCCCTGCTTGGGATTGAACGTTGGCCCAGAGGTTTTCAGACAGCAAACAAACCTGAGATGGTGATCAGCACGTTCAGCCCCTCCAAGACATCCATCTGTTGAAAGCGTCTCCTGCTAATCAAGGAGTAAACTCGACCTTGTCCACTCCGGTCCAGAAGCCACAACCCGTTTTCGGATCCAACCAGTAAATTCACCCCTGTTGACATGCGAAGAACATAGCAGGGACTGACAAATGGGTCTCTGGAAGAGCTGCGTCAGCTCACTCTAGGAAACCCCCTTTTCTTTCAAGCGTGGTTTGGGCCAAAGCAAATCGCCTGGAAAATCCAAGGACAGATTTCTACCCGCCAGCCAATGCGGATGGGTTGCAGATGAATTGGAAGGGACCCTGGAGGCCTTCTAGTCCAACCCCCTGCTCTGGCAGGAAACCCTATGCCGTTTCAGACAAAGGGTTGTCCAATCTCCTCTTAAAAACCTCCGGGGTTGGAGCATTCGCAACTTCCGGAGGCCGTCTGTTCCACTTATTCAAAGAGACACCGGAGGGAAGTGAGGTTTTCGTTAGGCCCTCTTGATAGGGCTGAGAGGGAAAGTTGTGATGGAGAGAATGAGGGAAACGGAAGAATTGTGTCTCGTGGGGTGAGATGGGGAGGAGGCCAAGGGAGCTCCGAGCGAGAGGCTGATAAGAAGATAGTCTTCTCCACCTCAGCACACGTATCATTTACCAGCTTTGCTATGCTCTTCTGTTCTTAATTTAAAAACTTGGCCTCTTCCAAACATACATCAAACGAAACCCAGAGAGCTGTAAACTGTAAATTTACATTTCCCTGGGATAATTTTTTTCCTGGCACTTTCATTCGTTTATTTTGTTCCCCATTTAAGACTTAAGTTGAAGCGGAAAGCCATGAGCAAAATATTGTGCTGGCTTTGTGAAGCCTGTCGCTTGATGTGAGGAAGATGAAAAATGGAAGCCGGTGGAGAACCACAAGGACACCGGCTGAAACGACCGAGAGGGGAGTCCTGCTTTGGGTATTCTGGACTTTGAGGCAGGAACCCACGGGGACCATCAGCGGACGCCCTCAGGACATTCCAAAACTGAGGGAAGTAGATGCATCTCAATGGAGACCTTGGGAGAAGATGCCAAACCTCCTTCACTACTCCCAATGACTCCACCAGCTGGATAGGGGGCCAGGTTTGAGGTGGCTTGTCAGGCGCCGGGCCCTCCGGCAGCAGAATCAGAGGGGGAAGGGGAGGAGGCAGTGTGGGAGTCCAGGGTCAGCATCAAGGCCACCTGAGAGCTCTGAGGGGGGAGAGGGAGTGGAGCTGGCAGAGAGAGAGAGAGAGGCGGAGTCTGGGCCGTCCGTCAGCCCTCAGATGGAGACTCAACAGCCCCCAGGTCTGGAGGTGGCTGATGAGGAAGAGGAGGAACAGCCGGGTCCAGTGCCTGACTCGTGGATGCACAGAAGGCAGAGAGGAGAGGAGAGCAGTGGAAATCTATGGGCCGGTCCTTGGGACGGAAGAGCCACTGCCGCTAGCGAAGCCCCACCCTAGCTCTGTGGATCAAAGGCAGGGGGAGGAGATGGATAGATGTGGCAGAGAACCATTCATCTCTGTGCCGGAGTTGATAGCCTGCTGTGTGTGTGTGTGTCTGTGTGACAGAGAGACTCTATAGAGCAACATCTTGCTGAGGTTCAAGAAAGATTTAATAAAGATATAAATAAACAAATCAGTTTCCTAGTGCAATATCTTCCCTCCTGCTCTTCATGCTCAAGAATGGTTCCTTGACTGGATATCCATCTCTTCGGTCACCCTAGCATTCAATGACTGTATCCAGATACTACACTAAGCCATGGCTCAGCCACAGTTTGTTAAGTAGAGCACAGTGCCTGGATCCATCCACAATCAGACCACGGATAACTTAGCGTACGACGGCAAAGCCAAACCAGGATGAGCAGAGATGAGCCCACATGGAGCACATTTGAGCTCTACCTTCAAAAGCGCCTGTCCTACTACATCAACCGGAAGGGCAGAGGAAGGACCCCCTTGGCTGTCACCTCCTCTCTGCTTACTCACCCCACAGCGCAGAGCACAAGATCTCGGAGTTGAACTTCTTTTTATATTTGCGGATTTCGGGGCTGTCGCTCTGCGGCCGGATATTTGTAGGGTTGACGTTGACCACAGAACCTTTTCTCGTACTTTGCCGGCTGGGAGGATCCATTTTCACATTGGACGCTGGGAGGGAAAGCAGAGGAGAGTCACGAACAAAGCTGTTGGGCAGCGGTGGGATTCAAAAACGTTAGCCACAGGTTCTCTGCCCGGTTGCTGGGTGGCCGTGGGCATGGTGGGCATGGCCTCCTTGGCCTCCTGTGCCATGGCCGGGGTGGGGGTGTGTTTTTTCCTTCCCCAGGCTCCGCAGGGCTCCAGGGGAAGAAGGCCCCTGCAGAATCCCCATGTCCTCCGGATCAGCTGGGACTCGGGAGGCAGAGAACAGATGGGGGTGGAGCCAGTCAGGGGGGGGGGGATTTGCTGGTTCTCCGAACTACTCAAAACCGGTTCTCCAGAACTGGCCAGGACCTGCTGAATGCCACCGCTGGTTCCACCCACTTGGTAAAAGAGGCAAGGGTGATCTTGTCTATACTCACGGGAACCAGAGTTTGGTCCAGTCGGACTGGTAGGAGGCGAGATTTGGAGAAGTCTGGGATCAATGAAGGATGTAAAAGAAGATGTCGAAGAAGAACTGTTTTTGGAAGGGCTGCTGGCAGCGTTCAGTGCCTGCTGTAGAAATAAGAATCACAAGTAAATTAAGGATATATATATATATCTCCAATTGTTCGTTGCGAGGTTCCAAGAGCCGCAGCCGACGGCAGGAGATGATGAAGCGAGAAGTCAACCCGGTGAGATCTCACGTACTTTGGGTTCGATTCCTTGGCGTTGCAGCCCTGAAGTGGAACTGCGGTTTTTGCTGGTGGGGGGAGAACTCAGCAACTCAAGCAGTCAATCCAGCCAAGGTCCCTCAAAACCCAACGGGATGATGTGGGAAAGAGACAGGACCACGAGCAAAGACTCTACTTAGGAGCAGGACAGAAGAGATATCTACCCCATCACTTTCTACTCCATCTTTAAATACAAGAAGTGGATGTGGATAATAGACTACCAGGGGAAAGAGCAGGAAGAAGATCTGAGCAACCTCCGGGAAATATCCGAAGCCAAATAGCCAAGGTGGCGCAGTGGTTAAATGCAGCACTGCAGGCTACTGCTAGATCAGCAGGTCAGCGGTTCAAATCTCACCGGCTCAGGGTTG